TTCTGTTCCATTGGTCTACTGTGTCTGTTTTTTGTACCTAATACCATGCTGTCTGATGACAATAGCTCTATAGTATTGTCTGAAGTCTGGGAAAGTTATTCCTTCAGCCTCTTTCTTTCTCTTCAGTAATACTTTGGCAGTTCTAGGTCTTTGATGGTTCCTTATAAATTTTATTATGATTTGTTCTAGTTCTGTGAAATATGTCCTGGGTAATTTGATAGGGTTGCATTAAATCTGTAGATTGCCTTGGGCAGTGTGACCATTTTAACAATATTGATTCTTCCAATCCAGGAGCATGGGATATCTGGAAGATCATTCTAACTGCAGAGTAATAACCTCTGAAAGAAAGAGGTGGAGAAAAAAGGTGTGAGTCCCACTGGGACAGTAAGTCTGAGCTCTTGCCCTTGCTTGCTAGGTGGAGGAGGAGCTGCAGGAGCAAGAGTTCCTTGACCGCTGCTTCCAGGAGATGCTGGATGAGGAAGACCAAGACTGGTTTATTCCATCGCGAGACCTGCCTCAGGCCATGGGCCAGTTGCAGCAACAGTTCAATGGACTGTCGGTCAGTGATGGTCATGATTCTGAAGATATTTTGGTAAGAGCATATGTAGTTCCACGTGTGACATAGCAAAAAGAGTGTGGGATTTGGAGTCGCAGGCTCTCCCTTCGGCCCTCCAACCTTGGGCAAGTTCTGGGGCCCTCTGAGCTGCTGTTCCTTCACTCATCACCTGTGCGTTAATAAGAGGGTACATTGAAGATGCACCACTCAGAGCACTGTGAAAGCGTCATTATTGCAACATCACCAGCTTTCATTTTCTCCAGTGGGCTTCTCAAAGCAGAACTGGGATTAAGGATAAAAATTTGAGCATGGAAGAGGTTTGGTTTCAGATTATCATCTGCTGCTGTCCTTTCCTTTTACTAGCCTGCAAATCTGTATTTATAGTTTTGAATGATGCTGTTAGAAAAACTGCCTGTTCATTGTGGAAGGAACATACTCCTAAGAGGCCATTTTTCACATATAATTAGAAGACCGGATAAATGAATTCCCTGCCTTCCACAGTTACGTAATGTCAGAATTCTCTAAGTGATATCATTCTCACACAACTCATGTTTTGAATGATTGTGCCCTGCAGTTTGCCAAGGTTTTAGATATGGCAACTCTCCAAGAGAGTAGATACCAAAGAGAATGCAGCAGAATGGAGAGGAAAAAAAAAAACCAACTAGGGATTGTGGTAACCAAACTGGCTTGCTGGAGTACTCTGATTTTCATTAAGCTAAGGTACTCAATGAATTAAAAAATTATTTTTAGAGTTGCACTTAACAAGCCTCTAACGAAAGCACCATGAAGGGAACAGGAGTCTAAAGCAGGAAGGAGAGAATGAGGTTAGCAGGACTTAATACGTAGGAGCCACTGAGAGCATCCCAGCAGTGACAGCTGGAGTTGCAGGGAATTTTTTTTTCCCTCTCCTTAAAGCAGAGAGGAAGGTACTGGTAATACTGGAAGCAGGAAGAAAATAAGTTTGAAAGTGCAGCTTGCCTTGAGATTTATCATCTCTTGGTTCTTATTTCAGAGCAAAAGTAACCTGAACCCGGATGCCAAGGAATTTATTCCAGGAGTGAAGTACTGAGCTGGAAGAAAGCTTTGAGGAGAACTTGTATGTCCCCACATCTGGGGATAGCGCTGCACAAAACGGCAGAGCTGAAGAGAGGGATGGGGTGGGCAAGGGGTGCGCAGCGGGGAAGGGGAACAGTGGTTTAACTTGGCACTGTGACTAGAGTTAACCAATGCGCTCAGTCTGACTCTACAAGCCTCTGAGTATTGCTCTTTTGTTCTACTGATTTCATTCGGAGCAATTTCCTATTACTGTTATTAGCTTTTTGACTTAAGGAAATTGCAGTCTTCTTTCCCCCTTCATCAGGAATGTTCTACTGTGTGTGTTGAAGCAAATAAGCTGACCGAGAAAGCCCAGGTGTTTAATTTAAGAATGCCCTTCTCACCCTGCTGTAAGCTTACTACCAAGGGCGGTGAACGCCTGCAGAACTACTTGTTGAGTCTGGGTGGCGAGAGGGACGAGCGGGAGAAGCAGGTGTTGGAACCAGAGAAAGCAGCTCCCCGACCCCGTGGGATTTCCTGCGATGAACTGGGATTACTATGGCCTGCTGAGCCCGTGCCTCCCTGCCCTGAAACCCATTCAGGAAAGCCCAGGCTTAAAGCGCTGCCTTACTGGGACTTCGGATGGTTAGTGAAGCACCCATTTACGGTAGGTGAACGCTGTAAATCCGAAGGAGAGGACTGGGCCGGTGATTATCACTTGGGTCATTCAGTTGCTGCTGGCCTGCTCTTAAGCCTCTCATTCCAGCTACCATCAGACTCATCACTTACAAGGTAAAAGAGCACAGGGGTGGGTTTGCCACTTCGTCCCTCATGTTGTCCGGTCCCCTGTCTCCTTTCCACACCAGCCCTACTCTGTTTTTAAGAAAAGATGTTGTTGCCAAAGGTATAGGAGAGGTGTGCTGTGCTGGCCATCAGCTTCCGCCTGGAGAAGTCATCTCTGAATCCTGCTAGTTGGAGCTTAAGTTTATTTTGACAGGTTTTTTCCAGCCTCATGATGAGTTGGTCCGCCTGGTATCCTTAGAAAGGTTTATGCACTTGTACAAGTAAATGTATTTTTCAAGACACTAACAAGAAGTTCAGTTTACACGTTGGATGCTTCTCCCCACCTGAGAGAATTGTGCAGAATAACTACACAAAAGCCTAGGAGAATGAGCCCCGCCTGACCCTGTGGCCCTGTGACCCACTGGGGCAGCTTTAGCAGTTAGAGAATTTTGCTGTTCCCACACACCGAAGCTTTTTGAGTTTTCTTGGTTGGACGTTCTGGGTACGTTCTTTCCTGCCTACAAGTCACGGGTTTTTTTGGTTGTTAGTACTCGTAAGGAACTAAACCGGGCGCTAGGAGCTGCTTTTGTGTGATAGAGGTGTCAGCAGCAGAGTCAGAGCTGAAAGAGCGTATCCAGTCCTGCCCGTCCTCTCAGGACGAGGACTCGCAGGGGCCTGAGAAGGACAGTGGCTTCTGTATGACTGCTGCTGCCGCCGTGTGATCGGCCTGTCAGGGAAAGATGGTGTAACTTGAAATAAAGTCTGTAAATACAGTATGTGGATGTGGGACAGAGGTTGAAAGGAAAAGACTAGGGTTTGGAAAGCTTCAGAATTTGTCCTTTTTCTTATGAGCTCCCTTGTTGACTCTTTGAACGGCCACAGGCTAATGTCGGATTGAAAATATGAACCCACGTCGTTCCCTCATTCAAGTCTGTAGGATGGTGTCATTTGAAAGATGCCCTCCTCGTGAGGTCCCATGTCACAGGGGAGTGGCTTAGGGAGGGAGCTGGTATTGCCAGGTGTGCTCATGAATTCCCAGAGCCTCTACATCAAGAGAGTGAAACGCGCAACTCGTTTTCAGGGAGGGCTACAAATAAAGAAACATCTTAATTCCAGTGCAGCTTTCAGCTGGAGTTGTTACCTTTAACAAGGAGAGGGCCTTGGAAGTGCAGGCAGAGGCCTCTCCCTGCGGGGGCGGCTTTTCCCCCTCCCATCTCCATTCACTTGTCCAAGCTCAGAATTCTAAAGGCTGCTGGAAGTGTATCGGGATTGCAGAAAGAGGCATTTTCCAGCCGGTGGTGTCTTCCATCACAGACAGCATTGTGGATTCTTGTTGTGTGGCTCCTGGTCTGAGAAGTCCTAGAGGGGTCCAGATTAAGCCGTTCCTTCATCCTGGAGAAGGCTTGCTCTTCTGACACCAGGATAAGCGAAGGTGTGAGGTGCAGTCCACAGGGCTTGTCTTTCCACCTGCTGTGGGGTTTCGGCTTGGACGTCAGTCTTCAGCCCGGTTTCACAAGGCATGTTTGGTCAGGATGAAGAAAGCTTCCTGCCGGACGAGCAGTGGAGCCTGAGGGCTGGGCTTCCCAGTCCTGTGCAGAACCAGCATGCTGACTTCAGAATCAGAAAGCAGCGAGCAGTGTGCCCCCCTTTTTAACGCATGGGTTTGTGTTTCCAACGGTTCCTCTTGTAGCCTACTCGTTTCTCCTTCTATTTTACGTTATGAGGTGGGAGCACAGTTGTCACCCAGACCACAGGCTCAGCTACAGTCAGTTTGCCAGCTTCTCAGCAGAAAACACATGTGGGTCTTGTTGGCTCTTCACTCAGAAAGGCTGGGAACCTCTATCTCGGACTTTTCCTCATCAGAGAGGTTCTGGGTGCAAGGCAGGCTAGACCCTTTAAGGGTGACTGGTATTGCAAGTGATCCCTTTGATGTTGAGTTTAAGCCACTACAGTTTAAGCTGTTTTTATTGGCAACTAGAAGTTTAAGTATAGAAACCGAATATGTGTTTTTAACAATTGCCAATTCTGGCTGGTCCCAGTGTCAGTTTATTAGTGATTGATTTCTTATTTTTGTGTTTACTGCACTCTGAGACTCCAAAATGAAAATTATTTTATCTCTTGGTCTTCCAGAGGGGGAAAAAAAAAGGGAAATGGCCTTTGAACTGTAGCAGAAAGCTTGATGGATGCAGCGTAGGCCTGAGACCTACAGCTGTGGGTCTTTGGACCAGTTTCTGACTGCAGCAGTTGACTTTTGGGGATCATACAAAGTCATACCCAAAAAGATCATTAGGAAAAGGCTGAACCTTACCAACACCTCTAGTTCCCAAAGCCAGAACAGCCAGGGTCTCTTTAATTAGGGTTCTAACGCTAAGAACGGCTTTAAAAATGTTTTTAGTGAAACAATCAGCATTTTTCAACTTGTGCATTGCTATAATCTCAAAATTTTGTCTTGATTTTGAAGAGTTTGGGAAGTAAGGATGTCAGTCAAACCCTGTGACCTCAGAGTAGAAATTAATATAATGTCAGAGAGGAAAGTTGTGTGAAGAAGTAGCGAAAGGAAACAGCTTGACTGAATCTTCTTGTGTCAGTGCTGCTGCAAAACCCATGTCTGTATAAACATCAGGAGCCCAGGAGCCAACACCGCTGAGACTGGGGGTAGCAAGTGTTCTTTGATAAAAATCCTGGCATCACAGGTTAATAATGTTGCTTAGTTTCAGTGATGTTGAGGGGTGGGCTCAGGCAGAGGCCTGACAGATTTGACCAAGGTTTGGAGGTGTGCACCTGGAAGACTGCATAGCCACTGTCCTCCAGGATAATTGCAGATCTCTTTAGTTTGGGAAGTGGGTGGAGAGAACAGAAGGATTGACCTGGATCCGGTCAGGACCCAGAGCTATCAGGAAACTTGATTTCCTCCTGCCTCTGCCCACAGTTCCCCACGTGAGTCATTTCCCCCCTCATTGCCCACAGAGACCATTAGTCCTTCTGGTCCCTGTGTGGTACACAGAGTACTTTTCTGCAGCCACTGCTCCGCTGCCTTGTGAATTTCATCTGTAGGCTTGGTTAGTTACAATTTTGAAAGGGCTTTTTTTGCCCCTTTGTTTTTAATTTTGTTTTTGTTTCTCCCATCTTGAAGCTGCAATTAGTGACAAAGGACAGGGGAATAGGAGGCTGACCCAAGGAAACACTCAACTGCCCTGCTGGCTACTTGGCCTCTTGCCTCATTGCCCAGCACCTTCTGCTGTCGTCAGTCTAGACTTCGGGGGTGGGGGTGAGGGGATCATACAAATAGGACAGCTGAGTACACTGATCTCTACAGGATGCTGCCAAGAGACTCACCACCCTGTCCCCGGGGGACAGAAGAGAAATCGACAAAGGGACAGATGCACCATCTTTATTCTGAAAGAAAAAGCCCCCTTAGATTTTGTTACTAGGAGTCATTTGTGAGGTCGGCTGACCTTTCTTCCCCAATCCTACCTTCTGACTGGCTACTTTAAATATTGTAACTAATGAAGAACACTCTAAGCTGTGTACTATGAGCTAGTACAGCGTTTTCACTCTAGCGCAACACTGATAATCCTGTCCTGTTGGTTGGGAGCCTGCAGAAGTGTTTAATGCTTGATGGATCATTTGGGAGGCAAGGACTTTATTATTTTTTTTAAACAACTTTATTGAGGCATGTTTTACATATCATAAAATTCGCCCATTTCAAGTGTACAATTCACTGATTTTAGTAACTTTCTTGAGTGGTGCAGCTATACAGTTCTCAGTTTTAGAACATTTTTATCTCCCTCAATAAGATCCTTCATGCCTATTTACATGATAATACCTGTTCCTAGCTCTAGGCAACCACTAATGTGTAAATTTGCCTTTTCTGGGCATCACCTCAATGGAAACATACAAAATACAGTCTCTTGGATCTGGCTTTTGTCACTGAGTGTATTTTCGAGGTTCACCCATGACATAAAGCTTGTATTAGTAGTCTGTTCCTTTTTGCTGAATAATATTCCATTGGTGGATATTACCAGTTTGTCAGCAGAGAGTCTTTTAAACTTGGATTTCAACCTCTTGTGGTCTAAATGGAACCCTCAGAACACAGGACTCACGGGGAAGCGGCTGTGCATGTCAGAGGAACGGCTTATCAGAACCAGCTTTGTCATCAGAATCTCCACCTGAAGCTTCTGGAGCCTGAACTGCTGCAGAAATTTTTATAATAATTTTGCAACTTCTTTTTTATATGAAACTCCTGTGCCGTCTACACGTCAGGGCTTCCGAAGCATCTGACAGTTTAATAAGTACAAGCATGTGTTTGAGCGGACAAGAAAGTGAAACCATCAGTACTGTGTTGGATATTTTTTCCTCCCCGACTGGATGGGGGAATCTCTGAACTTTCTCAGTGCAGTGCCGTCTCCGTTACAAAGCTGAACCTGTATTAAAGATCGTGCTGCCTTTGTTGGACCAATTTGGAAGGAAAGAGGGCAGCCAGCAGAGAAGGTCAAGAGGAGAAGGGGAGTGGACTTTGTGGTACAAGGGGTCCCCAGAGGGTTTGTGTACGGCCCACGCATCTGCTGGCGAGGAGGGTAAAGTGCGGCCGGTGCCTGCAGCTGAGCACGTCCAGCGGGCCTGGGGCGGGGCTTTGGACCTTTATCCCTGTTTCTCAAGTTTTTAAAAGCTCTTTCTGTTCCTTTTTTTTCTTTTCCTAAGTAAACATTACATGGTAGTTATTAATACTTCTTTGGGGGAGGGACAGGGCTTTAAAACTGAAGAAAATGATTTTCATAAAAATATCAAAAATGGAAAAAAGTTACTTTTTAAAAAATTTGCTACACAAACCAAATGGCAGCTGTTGAAAATCTCATTAAAATGAGAATAAAATACATTTGCTGGCAGTGGTACCCTTTTTCCTACAGTTGGGTCCTTATATTACAGCGGGTGTATGGTGTGTGTTTTGTTTGGTTTTTGTCTCAATGTAGATCAGTTTTAGTTGTGTAATTCTCCATTGTAAATAGTGTTACAAAGTAGTAAAAGCATTGTCTTGGAAGTCACAGGCCTGAGTGAATCCTACCTCCACTACTTTGTGCCTTTGGCCTGAACCTGTTTATTTGTGATGGTGTAACACCTTCCTCCTGG